TATACTAATAGTGATGTGTGTAACCTGTGTCTCAGGTTGGAGCAGCTGGTCTCTCTGTTCGTCCATAAGAACAACCTGTCCTACCTCCCCCACTGTCTCACCCACATCTCCACGCTCAGGATGATCGTCGTCAGCGGCGACGAGCTCACCTGCATCCCGACCAAACTGTGCCACAACCCCAACATCAAGTACACACACACACACACACACACACACACACACACACACACACACACACACACACACACACACACACACACACACTGTTTTGTAAATCTGATCTGTATCGTTTGTCTTCAGATTCATTCGACTGTGCGACAACGTGACGAGCGCAGAGAAGAAGAAGAAAGAGGAGAAGAAAGTAAAGAGGAGGAGGTGGAGAGAGCTGGGGAAGGAGGAGGTGAAGGACGGCAGAGAGAAGGAGTTCATCGAGGCGTACATCAGCACGCTGACGGACAGAGGTAACATTATATATGTAACTGTTCTATATCATAGATTCTAGATTCTGTCCTAATGGACTCAGAAGAGAACAGCAACATTAATCTTAACTTTATATCGAGAACTGAAAAATATGAAACTATTCTCATATAATCACATTTATCTACATCACGTTGAACATATGTTGAACTAGGGTTTTCCTTGTGCTCATGAAATACTAATATCGAATAAATATCACTGATATATTGAAAGCAGCTGACGTTTGTCCCTCACCAGACACCGTCCCATACTCCACCACCAAGGTGTCCATCTCCTGCCTGCTGTGAGGAAGAGGAGGAGGAGGAAGGTTTCACACCATGTGACAGTTTGATACTTTTATAAATTAAAAATTAAAAGACTGTAAGTCACAGTAAGTTTCTGAATTTAGTCATAAGTTCAAAATGACAGAAAAAGGACAGTGTAATTTAAGTCTAAATAAAATGAAGAATGAAATCTGTCAAAGTTTTGAGAGAAATCAGGTTTTTACATTTAAAGTTTTGAATATTTCATTTGGTTTTTTTCATTTTTTGTCAGGAATGAGTTTCTTTAATCTTTTAAAGTGTAATTTAAGTTTTGTTTTTCTAAAGAATTCCTGAGTGAGTGAATCTTTTGTTTTCAGATTCACTTCACAAAAATAACTTCATTCCAAAAACCAGATTTTCAACATTGAACCAGTTCAACTCTGAAGTTCGTCTTTCCCCCACCGTTACACAAACATGATTAAATCTTATATTTCACCTCTGATTTTCTGGGATTTGAGAGAAACTTGTCACAGTCGGGTTTTGGTTGAAAAAACTAGATTCATCAGTTCAAATAGTAAAAGAGAAAAAAGCTCAGATAGATTTAATATTTGCATTTAAACAGGATTCATTCCTGTTTAAATGCAAATGTGTAGTTTTAAACAGTGTGTTCTTCTGGTGATTTCATTTATTTCAGGTCAAATATATTTTTGTTAGACAGCGAAGTTGAGCTGCAACATAATTTAGTAATAATCAGATTTACCAAAATCTCATTATGATTGTGATACATTTGTGTAGAGTAAAAAAACCAGCGATGTTATTTCTGTAATTATCTTAAAAAATAAGAGTTTATCTATATATTTTTATTCATGTGGTGCTCTGATACTGAAATGTGTGTTTGTGGGCGTGTTGTTTTAAAAATGGAATAAATGTGGTTTGTGAAAAATAAAGTCTTCTGATATTCAACTAAATAAACATATTTCCCGAAACATCGAATAGTTTTATGTTCCTGTAGAA